CTGCCATCGCAGCGGTAAGTCCCCTCTTTGAGGAGTGGCTTGAGAGACGCTACGGCGTCCTCACCTACCGCCTGACGCAGGTCCTCACCGGACATGGAAGTTTCGGGAGGTACCTGTGTCTGATGGGGCGGGAGGAAACGCCCGGGTGTCATCACTGCGAGGACCGCCCTGAGGACACGGTGGAACACACTGTAGCGGATTGCCTTGCGTGGGCTGAGCACCGCCGTGCCCTCAGGGAAGTGATCGGCGATGGCGACCTCTCGCGTCCGGGCCTAGTGCAGGCCATGATGCGGAGCGAGGGGGACTGAGATGCCGTCTCTTCCTTTTGCGAAGTAGTCATGCTAGCTAAGGAGGAAGCGGGACGCGTGAGGCAGCGAAGCGCTGCCTCCTCGCAACCCAGCCATCGCGAAGGACACATCGGGCGTCAGGGATCGCGGGACGATCTCCGGCCACCGTAAGCGCAGGCCTGCGGACGGCGAGCATGGGTGGCTCCCCGTCCGACCAGAAACATACTCGAGCGTACGGCGCGTCGCGTTCCGCGCGCGCCTCAAAGAGCCATCAGACCACCACAGATGGGGCCCAACAGGACCGATGCCGATTCGGAGTCGCAGAGAACCTAACGGGTAACCGGGGCTCCGGCTCGACGTGCTAGAGAAGGCACGGGGTGGTTTTTAGTCAGTAAGAGTCTGACACCAAGGTGGGAGCAGCCATTCGATGATTATCACCCCTTAAAAAAAAAATTAAAATATGTCACCCATATCTATGCATAGGCAACGGGTACACTTTCTTCCTCTCTTTTTATAAAAATGTTACCTTACACTAGGATTTTCTCTTTAGTCGGGTGCGTTGACATATTTATATACAAGTTTACACACACGTAATACACTTACCATTTTATTGTATTATGGGTAATAAAAGTAAGACCCATACAATTTTATATAAAGGAATTATATATTTAATCTGAATTTGGCAACATAGAGCTCAGGTTTGCCAATTTAACTTAGAGGTAAAATAACTGAACGGACTACACACTTGTACCTGCTGTTTTTTATTTCATATTTGATGGGCCGACGTTTGACCACTACCTCGCTTGGTGGTAAACGATGATGCGGTGGATACTACGATGGATCACGTCGTCCCATAAGCAACCCATTCACTCGGCTCTTGATGACAACCATATGTATGCATGTTTGTTAAGTCATCAGAAGATCAATGTGTATCTCGATGATAAATTCATAACAATACTGTTGTTTAAGATGTAAGATGATAGTAGAGGTCTAGTTTTCAACCGACTTCAAAAAAAGGAGGAGGTTCTCAATTCGACTGAATTTTTTTTATCGGTCAATAAGGGCCGGTTTTTCTAAGGCCAGATAAATTTTAACTGAGGTATAGCTTTGAATAGTTGACAATTCTTCCATACTAAAAACTGTCAAATGTCAATTTTATTCTACAGTTAGAAATGTGGTTAAAATTAACTGATGATTGAAAAATCAGCCCTAAATGTAATTTTCGTTTAATAAAATTATTAAAAATTTTTTTTGATGCCTTGCCTTACTATAGCTTTTTTATTATTATTCTTTTTAAGGTGTAAATAATTTAGTTCATAGTTATTTATATTTTAAGTTGTATATATTTTCTTTTAGTGATAGTAATTTAATGAATTATTTCAATTAAATTATATCCGAAAAAAATTTACTTCAAAAAATTTATTAATAAAATAAAAATATACATTAAACAATTTATTAATAGAGTATTATAAAATAAAAGTGTACATTATACAATTTATTAATACAGCATTATAAAATAAAATATTCATTTAAGTATTTATTAATACAACATTATAAAATAAAAGTGTACATTAAACAATTTAATTTAATACAGCGTTATAAAATAAAATATTCATTAAAGAATGTATTAATACATCATTATAAAATAAAAGTGTACATTATACAATTTATTAATACAGCGTTATAAAACAAAATATTCATTTAAGAATTTAATAATATAGAATTATAAAATAAAAGTGTACGTTAAACAATTTATTAATATAGCGTTATAAAATAAAATATTCATTAAAGAATTTATTAATACAGCATTATAAAATAAAAGTGTACATTATACAATTTATTAATACAACATTATAAAATAAAAATATATTACTATAGAAAATAGAAAATAACTGCACAAAAATAATAAATAATATTAGTACCTACTAGTAATAGACGGCTACTGTACAGTTTGTGTACCTTAAGTTTATGAATGGATACTTATTACTTATGTAAGTAGGTATGTGGATACCGTCTAAGGTTAGGTATAGGTACCTAAGGTACCTACGCTATGTAGGCATTTGCGTCGGTACTCGTACCTTAGTTAAGTATCCTCATATCCCAATGCAAATCAAGTTATAATGGAAGTTTCGGATATTTCATGTAAATACCATTGTTTGGTTATGTGAGATGGTGCTGTTTGAATGTTTGAATGCCTTATGAAAATGTCGTGTCGGTTTCGGTATATTCTTGCGGGAGCGACGGAAGCGACCTATGAGTTTGCGCGCTAAAGCACGCTCATGAGCTGCTAAGTCATGCTCTTTCTGAGACCTGAGGAGGAGATATTGATATCTTTGAAAATTTGTAACTCATAAAGGTGTCCCTAACGTCGGCGTCTGTCGCGGAGAACCTAACGGGTAACCGGGGCTCCGGCTCGACGTGCAGGAGAAGGAACGGGGTAGTTTTTAGTCAGTAAGAGTCTGACACTCCCTCCCGCCTCACCCAGGCGGGAGCAGTCATTCGATGATTTTCCCCCCATAAAAAAAAAACGTCGGCGTCTAAATTATTTTTAAACGTATCCCCACACTATTATTGTCGCCTGTGTCATACACATGACACTTAGACCCGAAACAACAATTTGTGGATCCCACAAAGAGTTACTCTATGCGGGAATCGAACGAACCGCTGCATGTTGCGTGGCACCCGGTTATCCAGCCACCGCGCCAATTAAGTCAAAAGTATTGACGGACATGAAATGTCACAAGCAAGAATAAATAGGTATATTCATAAAACGTTTCAAACCTTTCAGTTGCTAGAAGGACGATTGGCGTTTCTAGTGGTTGCCTGTAAACCTGTTGTTCAGGCTTTTGGGTCTGGTAAGCTTCTGCAAATTAAAAAAAAACTCATTCATAACTATAGCACAGAAGTTTCACGGGATGGATTATTTTTGCAAAATAATCTTTATCCTAATATTAAGTATATGGCATAATTTTGGTATAATTTGTTTTGTCATATCTGGATCTGACATACAGTTTATGTTATTAAGTTAAGCGTCATCATCATCATCATCATCATCATCATCATCATCATCATCAACAGCTGGAACCGTTCACTGATGGACGGAGGCTCCCCCTTAGTCCTCCACGTCGTATTTAAGCTAAGCGTAAGCTTGCTTAATTATTAAAGACGCATAACAATGCGTTTATTATAAATTGCATTTATTAATAATTACAATTTGTAATAACTACTCCTCTAACTTACTAACCAAGTACTGGTCGTGGCTCGTAAGAGTTACCATCTTCTTCGTTAGGTATATTGGTGGATACGGGTATGTTTTCGTTTTCTTTCCGTCCGGTTCGCAAATGGTATTGCTCCCCTGGTTCGGCTCTCGAGAAGTCTGTAAGAAAATGATTATATTAAACAACAGTTTTAAGTTAAAAGCAATTAGTAATGCAGGAAATGAAATAGGCATCACAGGTAAGTACTTACAGGCAAAATCAGTTAGTTCTTTCTGTGCGTAGTGATAGCCTACTGAGATGCCATACACCATCAGCATGAGTAGTGTGAAAATTAGCGCTATTAGGACGAAAGCGCAGCAAATCCATGTCAAGATTCTGATGACAGATACGGCATTTATTAGTAAAATATAACATAACAAACTTTTATATGTGTGTAATTTATATTATTTCTTATATTATTATTATTGTTTCTTTCCATGTATAATTATAATAAAATATAGTAGGTACTTTTTTTTTTTTTAAGTGGGGAAAATCATCGAATGACTGCTCCCGCCTGGGTGAGGCGGAAGGGAGTGTCAGACTCTTACTGACTAAAAACCACCCCGTTCCTTCTCCTGCACGTCGAGCCGGAGCCCCGGTTACCCGTTAGGTTCTCCGCGACTCCGAATCGGCATCGGCCCTATTGGGCCCCATCTGTGGTGGTCTGATGGCTCTTTGAGGCGCGCGCGGAACGCGACGCGCCGTACGCTCGGGTCTGTTTCTGGTCGGACGGGGAGCCACCCATGCTCGCCGTCCGCAGGCCCGCGCTTACGGTGGCCGGAGATCGTCCCGCGATCCCCGACGTCCGGTGTGTCCTTCGCGATGGCTGGGTTGCGAGGAGGCAGCGCTTCGCTGCCTCACGCGTCCCGCCTCCTCCTTAGCTAGCATGACTGCTTCGCAAAAGGAGGAGACGGCATCCCAATCCCCCTCGCTCCGCATCATGGCCTGCATTAGGCCCGGACGCGAGAGGTCGCCATCGCCGATCACTTCCCTGAGGGCACGGCGGTGCTCAGCCCACGCAGGGCATTCTCCCACCGTGTGTTCCACCGTGTCCTCAGGGCGGTCCTCGCAGTGATGACACCCGGGCGTTTCCTCCCGCCCCATCAGACACAGGTACCTCCCGAAACTCCCATGTCCGGTGAGGACCTGCGTCAGGCGGTAGGTGAGGACGCCATAGCGTCTCTCAAGCCACTCCTCAAAGAGGGGACTTACCGCTGCTATGGTAGCGAGCCCAGCCCTCGGTTGCGACAGTCGTTGCTGCCATTCCGCCATGAGATCGCGCCGGAGCTCATCCCGCCACGCACTTATCTGGCGCGGCAGCGGAGTTTCGCCCCGGCGACGTGCCTCCGCGCGCATGCTGTACACGTTTTCGCCTCCAGATCCCACGGCGATAGTAGGTACTTAACTACCTACTGTCTACTGGATACTTTGATTAGAATTATAATGGCACATATACATTATGTATGATTTAAGGATCCGTACACAAAACTGCGATGCGAATTCGCAACGCAGAAAATTACGATGTGAATTGCTGCGATACGATTTCGTGCGACAAGGCGTCTCCCAGGGTGACCATTCCTTCGATGACCGTCAACATGAATCGTAAAAAGAAGTGTGCATTTCTGTTATTGCTTAGGAGATACAGGAAAAAGAAACAACGAAGATTTTTTGAAAATAAGATTTTGATGCGCGATGCGACTTAATTCGCAAGTTCTTGCGTGCGTAGTGGGAGCTCCCACATTTTTGTGATGCGACGTAGCATCGCAGTTTTGTGTACGAGCCCTAAGAGTAGATACTGGATATTGGGATACAAAGTGGGAAATGAGATAAATACTAAAGTAGAAATGAATATTTACTTGGTATTTATCTGAAAGACGACCATCATTATTATTTATAATTATTTTTTTTTTTTCGTTATTATACACATAAAGCTGAGGAGTTTATTTGTTTGAATGCACTAATGTTAGGAACTACTCTAGTTAGGCAATTTATCCAGGAAGCCTTTAGGCTATAAAACATCACGCACGCTACGATCAATAGAAGGCGAGTAGAGCGGATGGAACCGGATGATGAAAATGGAGTAGCTAGTGTATCGTAACAACGCAATTCACCCACTTACCTTTCCACACAGAATGTCATAGCACAGAATACGGACTGTACAAGCCCCATTTTTGTTGTATAGATGATCTGTCTGTTAAAAGTAAGTTTATATGTGTTATTGTAAATATTATATAAATATTTTTAGGTAGTGAAATGTCAATTCTAATATAAGTAGGTTACTTAGCAATCTTTCACACAAGTTGGTACTTAAATTTTCAAAAAAAACTCGTCTAGAATTGGAACGTAGGCAGATGCCTACGTTAACACGTTACTATTAACATCTACTTAGCGCTTTCCACACATTTTCATAGACCTATTGTATTAAAACTTACTCGGAAACCTAAAAGAGAGGAACTTCTCGCAGCAGCTAAAATCAGGAAAAATATTACATCAGAGGGCATGGTACAGGGCACTAGCTCTAAAAACTATATCAATGAACGCATTACAAGGGAAAACCGACTGTTGTTTCGGGAGGTGCGTGCTATAGTCCGACGGAGTGGCTTTCAGTTCCACTGGATCCGAAATGGAGTCATATACATTAGGAAGCAGGAGAGTAACTCCGATACAAAGTACCAAGCAATACGTATACAATCTATGGAGGACGTGGACAGAGCAATTGGAATCCCCGCTGCGACTCCTTTTATTCAGGAAAATAGTAATTAATTATCAGTTACGTTTTAGTTTTGTGACTTATCTACTGTTTATTTCTTGTTGCTATAAATTGCAGCTTCTGTCTTCTAAAATCGATACTTTTATGTGTACAACTTTGTTATTCATGCTAACACTATAAACATTTACTCACTCAATATTCCTCTACGCTCACATCACACAAAATAACAGTAGCTTACTCATGCACACACTCAATGATTATACAAGAAGAAAATAAATACATACGTCTAACAGCGTAATATTCAAACGTCACTCAATTTTAAGTCGCGCTTAAGTATAGTTCTGTCTCCACAAATTATTTGTAAAATGACAGAGATGGCACGATATTTGAGCACGACTTAAAATTGAGTAACGTTTCAGTATTCCGGCATAAGTATATACACAAAACACATCAATATAAATATATCGGTTATCCGTAAACTTACGTATAATAATAAAAATTGCTCCTCAAAGACAATCAGGTTTTGCTATCTTGTCCTTATTTGGCATTTCTTGCAATAAATCTTGCAAATTTGAACTTAATAATTATCATTATGTACGACACATAATATCTTCTCTTGACGTAATGCAATGCATAGATAACTTGCATGCGGTGACAAACAACACAGCAGAGGATATAAGTAAAATCTTGAAAAAACACGGTATTAAAATTATTACTATAAATATACGAAGTCTAAGTCGTAACTTTGACAATTTCTTGTTGGGTCTTGAGAAAATTGATATCGATCCTGATGTTATTATTCTAACAGAGTGTTGGTTGAATGAGAATTCAATAATTCATCATATCAATGGCTATCGAGCTTACAATTCTACAAAATATATAAATAGGTTGGGTGGTGTTGTGGCCTATGTCAAAGATTTCTGGTCTCCACAAATAATCGAACCAAATGTCAATGATGCGTAATACATTGTGATAACTATACTGAATGTTGTCGTTCAAATGTTAAGCCTTGGATGACACTAGGATTATTAAGATGCTCCCGATTGAGAGACAAAATTCTCCTAGAGGCTAGGCGTATGCCGAAGAATGATGTAAAAATTTCGGTCTATACTAGGTATCGGAATCTCTTAAAAAAATTACTATACATAAAATAAAAAATGACTATGAAAGTAATTTACTAGAAAAATACAGAAAACAACCAAGAAAACTTTGGCAATCCATTAACAAAATATCCCATAGGAGGACTCGTGCGACCACAAACGAATCTGAACTGATTACTCTGGATCCATGTCCACAGAGGGCAGTCAATATCTGCAGTGAGTTCTTTGCAACGGTTGGACAAGGTTATGCTACTAAAACTCTAAAAGAAGTCAATACAACCAAAGAAGTACTGGCGCAGGAACTCACTAACGACTCGGGCCCCTTGAAGTCTTTTTTCTTCGAGCCAACGGATGTACAGGAAGTAAAAAATGTTATACTTGGACTAAAACCCGATAGTGCACCGGGAGTGACTGGGGTGACCAACTAATTGCTTAAGAGGGTTAAACATTGTATAGTCGAACCATTGAAAAATATTGTTAATCAGAGTCTAGCTACAGGTGTCGTGCCTCAACAATGGAAAACAGCTGTGGTGGTACCAATACACAAAGGGGCTGAAGCAAATTTACTTAATAATTATAGACCAATATCGTTGTTGCCGGTCTTCTCGAAGGTGTTGGAAAAGATTGTTAACAGACGTCTTAAAGTACTTGGAAACTAATAAAATTCTCTCTGACACTCAATACGGATTTCGTAAAAATAAATGAGCAGAGGATGCAGTTGGCTTAGTTACGGATGAGATTGTTGAGCATTTGGACAAAGGTCGTGCGTGCGTGGGGGTATTTCTAGATCTCGCAAAAGCCTTCGACACAGTGGCAATTCCGATACTGTTAAGAAGATTAGAAAACATAGGAATAAGAGGCATTGCCCTCGATTGGTTCAGAAGCTATCTAACAAAAAGAAGACAATGTGTTAAGGTGAACTCCTGGTTTAGCAGGAAATCTCTTTCGGTGTGCCACAAGGCAGTTTGTTGGGGCCGACATTGTTCTTGATTTACATTAATAGCCTTATCTGCTTACCCCTGATGAACGCTAATATACGCGAATAATTTGCTATGCAGATGACACTTCTATTATATTCCACAATAGCAACTGGAATGACCGTCAGAGTGTGGAAGAGGGTGTATGGTTAAAAAATAACTTATTAACACTTTACACTAATAAAACCAAGTTTCTATGTTTCCACAAAAGTGCTCTTTCGGCTCCTCCTGTTGCCTTAAGTTTACAGATTCATATTTCTGATCAGTCACAATTTTCTGGAACATGCTGTCAGTGCAGTTACATCCAGAGAGCTGGATCTATAAAGTTTCTAGGAATAATATTTGATGAGAAACTAACGTATGAAGAGCATGCTGCTGCAGTTTCATCCAGAATCAGAAAACTCATTTATGTATTTAGGGAGCCCAGAGATGTTGCATGTGAGAATCTTCTCAAAACTGTCTACACTTCACTGTGCCGGTCTATCCTAACATAATGCATGGAGGTGTATGGAGTGGGACTTCGGCAATGCATTTGGTGCAGTTGGAGAGAGCACAAAGATCGGTCCTGAAGGTTATGTACAGGAAACCCATCAGGTTCCCAACAATAGAACTCTATAAGGACACTAACCAACTTACCGTAAGAGGACTTTATATATCACATGGGATTGCCTCGACACATAAGCACGTTATTAATTCGCCCCAATATAAAGATATGTTAAAACAAAGACTCTTTAGAACTATGACCGCGAAAGTCAATACATCATTTGGTAGGAGATCACAAAAATATATGTTTTCTTTTCTTTATAATAAAATTGGACACCAACTAAACATCAGGTACTGCATAACCCGTGAAGCTCAGGTAAAAGTTAGAAAGTCAGGTCGTCCACGATTTTTCGCTGTACCTGTCGGCACGCGGCAAGGTGAGATAGATACCCGGAAAGGTGAAGAGCGCTTTAATCTACAAATATGAGAAACGTTAATTAACATTTTTTATACTTACCACACGCACACGTCAAAATATCACCAAGAAAATGAAAAGTATTGCAGGTAACAAATTCTTTAAATATACAAGTTGGTATATTAATCCTCCATAACTATTGCTAGCTGAGAATTGATAGGTAACATTAGGTAATTAATCGCATGAGGTACAAAATTATACAAAACCGTTGAGTACCTTTAACACGTCATCTATTCGAACTTCAGTGTCAAAGGTAAAGACTATAAATCTAAATAAGTAAGGTAAGGTTTGTCAAACAGTGAAAAGGTTTATTCTTGGTTTATTCTACACGTTCAAAATAACAAGGTTTATAATTATAAAGCGTTTACAGACGTTGTTACAGACCACTGTTACAGACTTACAGACATGCAGGCAGTGCATTCGAGTTAACCACAATCACCTTTATATTTGTTTGTGTCTGCAAGGAAACTGGAAAATAATCTTAGAAAGTACCTACATATAACTCGGGTGAATTCACTTTGGTACTAGCGTTGCTTGGTAGGTTTCGAACCTGCGGCAAGTCTCCTGGATTGGGCGAGAGGCCTCAGCAAATTGCCACTACTGCCGACGTGACTTGGATTCCGTAGAGCACACGCTCAAGGAGTGCCTCAGCGTGGGCCTCTAAACGGCCAGAAGTTAAGGCTATGCTGGCAGAGACAGAAAACTGGAGGGAAATGGCCTCATTTTATGACATTGTAATGCCCCAAAATTCCACACTAGTCTTTCCCCCCAAAAAGCTAGGCGCCTTTTGAAGGTTCACCCCGTCATCAATTAGGCCTCCGGTAACCTCACTCACACGACGAAGCACAACGCAAGCGTTGTTTCACGTCGGTTTTTTGTGAGGCCGTTGTATCACTCTGGTCGAGCCGGCCCATTCGTGCCGAAGCATTGCTCTCCCACACTAATATTACGGATACTTGTATCGGATTCGAGGGTTTTCTTAATTACCAGTCCTGCATTAGGTACATAGAAGACGACTAAGGATATTTGCGTGCCAGTGCTACTGAGCGGGAACAAGCGTTGAAAAATTTATTGCATCTTAGTCTTATTCTAATTGGATGACAATAGATAGTGGACCTCCTGCTTTTTGGGGAAGTCACTTAATAAAATTGGTTTTATATTTAACAATTTTATTTATTTATCTTACAACATTAAAAATATAAAAATATATTACTTTATAAAATAACTATACATAGAATCTAAAAAATAATATTAGTTATCGAAAGCTACTATACAAGTAGTTTGTGTACCTTAAGATATGAGTGGATACTTATGTAGGTATGTGGATACTGCCTAAGTTTAGGTACCTACGCTATGTAGTTATTTTCGTCGGTACTCGTACCTTAGTTAAGTATCCTCATATCCAAATACAAATCAAGACACAGTGGAAGGTTCGGGTATTTCATCTAAATGCCATTGTTTTGCCACGTGAGATGGTGCTATTTGAATACTTCAATGCCTTAGGAAAATGTCGTGTCGGTCTCCGTATATTATTGCGGGAGCGACGAAAGCGACCTATGACTTTGCGCGCCAAAGCACGCTCATGAGGTGCTGATTCATGGTCTTTCCGAGACCTGAGGAGAAGACATTAATCTTATTTGAAAATGCGTAACTCATTGATTACCTACAGGATAGATAAAAGAGACACGAAATGTTACAAGCAATAATGCAGTTATGTTACTAAAACGTTTCAAACCTTTCAGTTGCTATGAGGACGATTGGCGTTTCTTGTGGTTGCCTGTAAGCTTGCTGTTCACGATTTTGGTTCTGGTAAGCTTCTGGAAATTAGAATAACACTTATTCATACGTATGCCCCCAAGTCACACTGTACCTTCATGGCAAAACCACGTAACTTACTAACCATACACTGGTCGTGGCTCGTATGAGTTACCGTCGTCTTCGTTAGTTATGTTGGCGGATTCGGGCATGTTTTCGTTTTCTTTTCGTCCGGTTCGCAAATGGTATTGCTCCCCTGGTTCGGCTCTCGTGAAGTCTGTAAGACAATGATTATATTAAACAACAGCCTCAAGTAAAGCAATCAGTAACGCACGGTTTAAATTGACATAGATATTATAACATCAGACGTTTTCTTCCCTGAAGGGGCACGACAGGTGAATGTATATACAATAGACCACAGAAATATCTTATTATATCTACGCAATGATATCTATTAGATAGAGTAGGTACTCTTCACCAAGAGAAAAGAGTCTTATGCAGGCTACACATCTTACGAATTATCGTTATGATAAACTGTGCAGTTTTAATTGTTAAATTGTAGGTTCATACAGCTTATACACCTAACGATTTAATTAGGTATATAGTCCGACGGTACAGCTAAAACTGCACCGTTTTCCATCGATTGTTGTAAGGTGTGTATCGGGTATAGAAATATTAAAAACAGCGGGCATTATGTCGATTGCTACCAAGTAAAGTCACGATGTCGAAATCTGGATTTAAGTAATAAGTACCTATTAATTACTGGAAATGAAATAGAGATCACAGGTAAGTACTTACAGGCAAAATCAGTTAGTTCTTTCTGTGCGTAGTGATAGCCTACTGAGATGCCATACACCATCAGCATGAGTAGTGCGAATATTAGCGCTATTAGGACGAAAGCGCAGCAAATCCATGTCAAGATTCTGATGACAGATACGGAATTTATTAGTAAAACATAACATAACAAACTTATATGTATAATTATAACGACCTCACTCCATCCACGTCTTGACCACCTCCTATGCCGACAGATACCCGTGGAGCAGGCGGGCATTGTGAAGGGCAGGGGAACGCGGGAACAAATATTTAACGTCCGTCAAGTAATCGAGAAGAGCAGGGAGTTCAATAGCCCTGTAGTCCTGTGTTTTATTGACTACACAAAAGCCTTTGAATGTGTGCAATGGGACAAACAGTGGAATGTGCTACTCGAAATGTGAACCTTCACCTTGTTGCTTTAATCCAGAGTCTATACGTGGAGAACCGCTATTTCATTAGGATAGGCACTGAATGCTCTAATATGTTCCAAATAGAAAAAGGAGTGAGACAGGGCTGCATTCTATCCCCTGGACTCTTTAACATATATGGAGAATATATCATTTGAAGGACCATCGATAATTTAGAGAGTGGTTTTCCGATAGGTGGAAAAAGACTGTCAAACCTGCGATATGCTGATGACACTGTTCTTCTCGCTACATCCATGGAAGACATGTGTGAGCTGTTACTGAGACCCGAAATCAAAGTCAGAGTCAATGCATTTATTGCAATTAAACCATAATTTGGTACTTTTGAAACGTCAACAGATACAAAATAAATAAGTTCTGTCAGTCAGTCCGTCAGTGAAGCTAGGTGAAGCTAGGTGCTCATTCCGAAATGTAGATTCGAATGGAGAAGAACGAGCAAGAAACTCCATTCGTTACTCTTCGAGTACGTTCTATAATGTCTCTGATACATACTTATTCCAATATTGTACGTATATGTGAGAACAATGCAAAGACACGCTTGAACCATTATACAAAACTTGCTAAAATAAAAAAATAAAACAAAAAAAATCTTATAGTCTAACATGGTGCTCATATTATGCGTACTGACAATCCATAAAAATAGTGCTTCTATACAAGTAAAAGAAAACTCTTTGTTTCAATAAAGAAAGGAATGCTTGAGATTGTCTAGGTACCTACATTAGAATGAAAGTATTGAATTATCTACTATTGGAATCTAACTACTGACTACATTTGAGTATTGTCCAGTTTGTTGGAGCCAACAACAAACTGGACAATACTCTAACTCTCCAACCAACATGCTGCCAAGCATTCTTATCTTCAAGATAATCTGTCATTTTGTAGTAAGCTTGATTACATAATTCGCGCTTAATATATTGGCGACGAATCGGGATGGCCAAGGATGCTATGACTAGTCTAAACATAATATGGAAGAAAAGAGGAATAGATATCAAAACCAAGATCAGATTGGTACGAGCTCTGGTATTTCCTATCTTTCTGTATGCAGTGGAGATGTGGACGTTAATGGCGCGAGAGAGACAGAGGATAGATGCGTTCGAAATGTGGTGTTGGGGGTGAACGCAAAGAGTACCTTGGACAGCAAAGCGCAACAATGCATCGATTCTGTCTCAACTTCGGATAAAAATTCGGTTGTCCACCAACGTACCGCCAGCCAGCGTATGCCAGCAACGTACCTTTCTTACTTCGGCCACACAGTCCGCAGGGGCGGCGAGAACCTGGAGAAGCTGATTGTTGTTGGAAGCACCGAAGGCAAGAGATCGCGTGGGCGTTATTCAACAAGATGGACCGGTCAAATAAAAGACTCGTCCTCAAAATTTTGCACGGCTGTAAAAGACGCGCTGGACAGAAATCGCTAAAAGCAGATCATCCGCTCCAGATGCAATCCTTATGTTGACCACGATCCTCAGACATGAGGGAACGACTGAAGAGAGAGTGAGAAATAACGTCTTTACTACATCTCTACCAATACCAGTACCAATATACGTACCAAAGTACGCCAAATAAATAGATTGTCTACCTATTTATCTAATACTAGCTGACCCGCACCCACTTCGTTGGGCGGTAAAGAGTCACTGTCCATCCTTTAATTTAACTATCTCCATTTAAAAAAAAAACATCAATTCGTCACTCCGTTTTGCCGCGAAACATAGACAAACGACATCATCATTATCCACAGGCTGCATAGATTGTCTTTATGAGGATTTTAAAGTTGTTAATGATGAAAATATTTAAATGTAATTAATACTAAGTTTTCACTTCTGCCGGGAGTCCCCAAGAGTAACCCGGTTGTTTTAGGATAGATAAATAAAGCGATTATTGTAGAGCTTCTCTATTAACAACATTTGACGTTAAATAATTTTCTGGTAACAAAATATACTGATGGTCGCGAGCCCCGACCCGTGATAGGGCAACGTAAAGTTGCCCATGCGTAAAACATTATTTTCGTAAATCAAATCCTATTAATTTGAATGTTTGGCCCTGGGATTTGTTTATTGTTAGTGCGAAAGAAATTTTTACTGGAAATTGAAGCCTTTTGAAGGGTATAGGGAAATTTCTGAGAAGCATTATTAGCCCAGCGGGGTTCAGAGAATTTAAAAATTCCTGGGGATAGTGTACTGCGTCCTCGATATTAGTGACGGTGTCTATGGATTTATAGCACTTAACTTCACCCGGTACTTTCTGCATAATTAAATTGTTTAATAGGCAAACGTTATGAGTAAACATTTATTGCTGTTGAGAATAGTAAATAATTATAATCTTGATAGATGTTTCTTAAGCATATGTGGTGCGATTTAGTGGCTCCAGTGTTAAATTGTACACACTATGATTGTTGGCAATTATTACTTATCTATGACAAAGCGCTGGTCTATGAAAAAAAAAAAACTTTTCCCTCTCTTGAATAATGGCTGCGAGTGTGAACGGTGTACGTATTAAATAAAAGTTTATAAAAGTGTAATAAAAGTAAAGAAGAACAATAAAAGTCAAGTTAAAATATTCAAGCTTTTTATTTAACACTAGCTTTTGCCTGCGACTTCGTCCGCGTGTAACTCCTTGTGTATTAAGTTAATGAATGGAGTAACTTCTCCCGTTTTCCCAATATTTCCCTTCACTGCTCTGCTCCTATTGATCGTAGCATAATGAAAAGTATACTATAACCTGCCCAAGAGTATAAAGAATAATTGTGCCAAATTTCTTTAAAATCCGTCGAGTAGTTTTTGTTTCCATAACGAACATACAGACAGACAGACAGACAGACAAAAATTTTACTGATTGCATTTTTGGCACCAGTAGCGATCCCTAACCACCCCTTGATAGTTATTTTTTAAATATATTTTATGTACAGAATTGACCTCTCTACAGATTTATTATAAGTATATATATAGATAAGTAGATTTCTTACTTAAATGAAAAAATAAATCATCACTTACCTTTCCACACAAAAAGTCAAAGCCATGATTAAAGATTGTACAATCCCCATGTTTCATGTATAGATGATAATATCTGTTAAAAGAAGTAATAATCATGGTATTTATTCTCAAATGTGATATTTTAATACATGTTCAGCACATTTACCATTAGCGGCATGCACATTTTGAACGAGAATCCAAAAGTTACAATTTATAATATTTTGAAACGTTACAATATTACATCTTGAATTTAAGTCTATTTTACACAAGAGATATAGGTATGTGACATGCAGTTTCAATAAAGATACCGTAGGAAGCCGCTGGATGCAGATCGCATCGAACCGGCCTATCTGGAATGACTTAGTTATGTTCTGTAATGTACATCTCGTCCTGATGGTTGATGAACCATATTTTTGGTTCATCTGTTGATGAGATGAACCAAAAATATATTTGGAGTTAAGTAGCCAAAAATGTGATTAAAATAAAAAGTGCGTAAGAACGCACTGTTTTTCTTGCCTTTTTTTGTTTTTTTTTTTGAGGGGGGAAAATCATCAAATGACTTCTCCCGCCCGGGTGAGGCGGGAGGGAGTGTTAGACTCTTACTGACTAAAAACCACCCCGTTCCTACTCCTGCACTTCGAGCCGAAGCCCCGGCAACCCGTTAAGTCTTCCGCGGCTCCGTATCGGCATCAGCCCCGTTAGGCCCCATCTGTGGTGGTCTGATGGCTCCTTGAGGCGCCGTACGCTCGGGCGGCGAGTCACCCGTGCTCGCCGTCCGCAGGTCCGTGCTTACGGTGGCCGGAGATCGTCTCGCGATCCCCGACGCCCGGAGTGTCTCTCGCGACGGCCGGGTCGTGAGGAGGTTCGTCCCCTCACGCGCTCCGCCTCCTCCTTAGCTAGCATGACTGCTTCGCAGAAGTAGGAGACGGCATCCCAGTCCCCCTCGCTCCGTACCATGGTCTGAACCAGAGCCGGACGCGAGAGGTCGCCGTCACCGATCACATTCTTGAGGATACGGAGGTCCTCAGTCCACGCAGGACACACCGCCACCGTATGCTCCACTGTGTCCTCCGGGACTGTTTTTCTTGCCGGAACGCACTTCTTTCATATTGGGCCTGTCCTAGGGTGGGGACTACGCCCATGTCTAGTAGTGTATTTTTAGTAGTTTTATTGATTCTGGGACAGAATCGAGAGAGAGAGAGAGAGAGAGAGAGAGAGAGAGAGCTAATAAGACTTTAATACTGAACATAATTAAGTACTTACCACACAAAAGATAATTATTGTCAATAGGTAAAAAGTATTATAGCAAATTATTTAAATATCTACAAATAGGTATATTAATCCTCAATATTTATTACTAGTTGAAACTTCATAGAATTAGGCATTCGCTATTAAATTATGAAAAATAGCACTAAGCGGTACAAAATCATACAAAACTGTTGAATATTTTAAACTTCAGTGTCAAACGTAAGTCAAACGGTAAAAAGGTTTATTAAGTTAAAGATAAAGTTTTTATCAAGGACGTTGACAAAAGTTTTCTAAGCCCTGTTTTTGGAAGCACGTGTTAGCAATTTTGGGTGCACGCGGAACTCGTATACCTACGTGTGTAGACGCGCTTCGAAGCTCTTATAGGTACGCGCTAATCGTGACCAAGGTAATTTTATTAACGACTGTAAGTAGGTACTGTACCTTACATACTTAATTTGTGCTTGGTAATACAATAAATTATACGTTTTTATAATAACTATCGTGAGACGTACTAAATTAACTTAAAGGTTCAGTAGGCTGCGCGACATCGCTGCGACCGCGCACGCTGCTCATGAGGAAGAACCCCACTGTGGTTCGAAACTAGGGCTTTTCTCCGTATGTTCACGTGAGTAAGCCGCGATTTTTAGTTAAATTATACGTTACCCAAGGACGTTGAAAAAAAAGGTGGACGTAATGTCACTTAGACATGATTGAAGTACCAAAATCTCAGTGGTGTATTTATGTGTGCGTGTACATAGCACACCAGCATTATATTTATAATTACTAGCTACTTCCGCGCGGTTTCACTCGCTCTGCTCTGCGCTTCTTAATCGTAGCGTGATATTTTATAACCTATTATTAGCCTTCCTTGATAAATGCGGTATCAAACACAGAAAGAATTTTTCAAATCTCACTATATTTTTTATGGCATAAGCCGGTAAACGAGCAGACGGATCACCTGATGGTAAGCAATCGGCGTCGCCCATGGACACCTGGAACACCAGAGGCGTTACAAGTGCGTTACCGGCCTTTTGGGGATTAGGCGTTTGAGGATCGTTGGGGATTCAGGAATTGTGGAGATTGGGGAAGAGGAGGGTAATTGGGCCCCCGGTAACCTCACTCACACGACGAAACACAACGCAAGCGTTGCTTCACGTCGGTTTTCTGTGAGGCCGTGGTATCACTCCGGTCAAGTCGGTCCATTCGCGCTGAAGCACGGCTCTCCCACACTTAGACAAACAAAAAAACAAACTCTTCAGTTTATATAATATCAGTATAGATAAGATATGAGTGTAAATGACGTTGATGAAGCGTTATGATGGCTATGTTACGCAACAGTTGTCCTTCGTATCAATGTGTGTGTATTCTGCGTGTAAGTCTATAGTAGTCGGGTGCCACAGTCGTTGTTTCAAGAGACTATATCCGCCTTTTTTCAATGTCCTTGTTATACGTTACCAAAAACTAATTACCTACTCTATGACGAAGTATCATAATCCGTCAACTACTGTTCTATTGATACATCTGTCATGTCAGTATACAAAAAGAGGGACATTAAATCAAAATAGTTTAAGAGTCTTATCCTTTCTAAATGGGTGTTCAGGTTGATGAATAAATTGTTATGTAGGTAACAGCGTTTTGTACCTAATTGCATGATTTGGCCGACAAATTCCTCGTGATCCAATGTTGTCTGTGCAAGATGGGCTGTGTGTGTTGTTCTCTAAGTTCATTCATCTCAGTTGTCTTAGATGCTCTCGAAAGGTACAGTATTTAGGTAGTTGTTATTCAGTGCAGGAGTACCTTGCCTACCTATATTGCGAACATATATTATGATTTCAGAATATCACTATGCACTGTATGTGCTATGTTGACATGTTGTCTCTTGTTCACTATACTAACCGTATTGGTATTGGGGATCGGTATCGGCTACCATTACTGTTTTGTACAAACCTCAGTCCAAACTATGTGTAAGTAATTCAATCGTATGTACATGAATTTTCGTAATTATAATTATTACTAGCTTCTGCCCGCGACTTCGTACGCGCAATCCCGTTTCTCACATTCCAGTAGGATTTTCAGGACTTTTTTCTATGATAAAAACCTTCTCTTCTAGCGAAATCGGTCTAGCCGTTCTCAAGTTATGGCGTGACAACGGGAAACGGGTTTCATTTAAATACATATAGATGTACCTACTTATAGGCAGATTTGTTCTATTGGAAAATACGACTATTTGTTTTATTTTCTTGGGTATGACCTTTTTTGTTGGTTTTCAGCGAAGGCTAGCAAGGGGACAGCAGATTCAGGGATCACTGACCCAATACGTCGTCGGCAGGGCAACTTGTTGCGCTCTGTAAACAAAGCAGTGCAGCGAGGGTTCGCGCACCGCCACTCGCGGCGCGACGCTGATGCTCCTCTAGCGAGCAATAACCTGACAGTCAGCGACAACTACACACAACCCGAGACCCTCACAGTCTTCAACAATCCACCTCCACTCCAGCTCTCATCAAACAATACAACTAATTCCACTGTCTCCAGTTAACTTTGTCCCCCAATAACGTTTGTAAGCGTAATTTTCGTAAATAAAATTGGTTTTATAGAAAATACTTTATTAATTTACAAAAACTTAGGTAAACAATTACATAAAATTATAAAAATAAAACATAAATAAAAATAGAATACAAAAGAGAAAATAAGTACAATAAGTACGAAAACATATCAATAATGTAAAAAATAAAGATGTAAATAAATAAAATAAATAATATATTAGGTATTATATAAAGTTATTAAGCATGTATAATAATGTAAAATAAATAAAATAGTAAAAGAGGTATATACACCTTCTAAATTAATAAGTATAAGATATAAGTACTTGGTATCTCAATAGGAGATAACATATAGTATGTGTTTCATGTTGTCAGTGACGTTGTTTTGACGTATGTGCTGTTAAAAGGCTTCAAAGGTTTGAGGAAAGGTGTTGTGTTGTTGCGGGAACGACGGAAACGACCAATGAGCCTGCGCGCCAGTTCCCGCTCGTTAGGTGACAACTCTGGCTCCTTGGGAGGCCTGGGAAATAAATTCATTTTATTTATTTATTTAAACTTTTGCAAAAAAATTGTAAAAAGCGACCACAACGCCGCGCCGTAGGCATTTTCTTCCAACCAAACCTGTAGGTGCTGCAGAGAGGAGCCAACAGTAGGTGCGAGAAGCAAGCAGAACCATACTATCTAATAAAATCAGTACCTAAGTGTATTTCAATCGTCGCAAATACAAACCTTTCAGTTTCTAGAAGCACTATTGGTGTTTCTGACTTCTCAATGAAAAGCTCTTGGTCCCCAGGCTTCTTGGTTTGGTAAACTTCTGCAATGAAGGAGTTTTCATTAAGTAAAAGATTTATAATATCGAAAGTAATATCGAAATTAATATCGATATTACTTTCGATATTATATAATAAATAAAATTAATATATATAAAGCAATATCGTAATCGTACTTCAAACGTAAAACAAAGTTGTAAAGCCTTTGTAGAATATAGTTTACTTACCAAGTATTGGTTGTGATGGATTTTCTTCCTCGGATCTGTTGACAGCGAGTAGGCGCACCACCGGCCTGTTCTCTGGGCCGGCTCGCAACAACGCGGGCTCCGTCGTCTGTCTCGATGACACTGTGTCACAAATTGATGATCGATTAAATATAATTCTGTAACTGATTCTCGTTAAACAGAGACCACGAGTGTACCCAAACACTATATAAATATCCAATTGCTGCTACGATATTCTGTAATTTTCAATTCGAAAGATCGAAGTAAACTCGATCGTAGTCCGCCATGTCATTGGTTGACTAAGGACGTGCAAGAATGTGATCGAGTTCTCTTCCAGAGTCCGAATTGGCATCTTACAGAATATCCTGGCAGAACCAATGTTTAAATGCTTGTCGTGTCACAAGTTTTGTTTGATTAAAGTAGGTATCTTCAATTATCAAACTCTGATGCTACCTACAGCTGATGCTGATAGCATATTCTTTGTTAAATTCAGCAGATTTCCCTGTTTAGAGCTTATAATAACCATGGTGATATGTAAAAACGAAAGTAAGTACCTAAGTATAATTTTTTACTAAAAATATTCGGAAGTTTTTATGTTCTTTTTTTAAAAAACGTTGCCTCACACTAGGATTTTCCCCTGTGTCGTGGGTGCGTTTACAAACATACAAGTTAACATTCACAACTCTGACACCTAGACCAGAAAAACAAATTGTGGATCACATAAAGACTTGCTCCGTGCGGGAATCGAACCTGCTTCACGTTGCGCGGCAGCCGGTTATCCGGCCAGGGCACTGCGCCCACCGTGCAGTCAATAGTTAGTAAATAGTTAGGGTTTCTGATTAGATTAGACCACTATATAGAGATAAATAGAGAAGAAGCAAATTGTAGGAAAATTGATAAAAAGACAGAACTTACTAGCAAACGATGCGAGTTCTTTCTGTGCGTAGTGATAGCCGACTGAGATGCCGTACACCATCAGCATGACTATACAGAACATCAGCAGCATCAGGAGGAACGCGCAGCAGGTCCATGTTAGAACTCTAGCATTTGGAAGAGATATTAGACAAAACTTGCAACTAAGTACCACATGTACAGTGAACAGCAAGTCAGCAACCTACTCGTATGTGTCAATTTTTGTCATGAGATTTTCGATGTTAAATCCAACTGTTAGAGTCGAAAATGTTATAAAGTTTGACAAAAATGAGTAGGTTGACCTGTTGCTTACTGTATATGTATACATAGATGGTCAGTTGTTGGTTCAGTGACTCTTCAAGAGATTATACACCTTTTGTATTACCTCCTGCCAGATATCTATATTAAACTAGCAAAACCAGCGAACTCCGTTTCGCCAGATGTCTTCGTTTTATGTAACATTTCGTTTGGTGATTAAAAGATGAAGAAATTTTTTTTTTGTTTTATATTTCATTAACCTCACGGAGCCCGAGACCTTTCCAACGAATGCAAAACTGTGGTAATCGGTTCGTGCGTTCTGGAGGTATAGCGTCAGGAAGGAAAACCCGACTTATTTTTATATAAGTAGTAAGTTAATTTTTAATGTTACTGACGAGATGACTCAAAATCAAAACATTTATTTCAATTAAACCATAATTTGGTTCTTTAAAAATGCCCATAAATTCAAAATAAATAATAGGCTGTCAGTCTGTCCTTCAGTGAAGCTAGGTGCTAGCTAGGTAACTCGACCAGTTTCAAGCCAAGCTAGGGGTTCATAGTATTCATGAGCAGCATCACGCGACACACGACGCGCTGGCTGGTTGTGAGTAAGCCGTTAAGGTTCTACTATTTCACAAAACATTTTTATTAACTTTAAAACCAATTAGGTTTAAAGTTTGGACGTCCGTTTTCTTAAATATTTATCTTTTACAATAGGTTTATTCATGGAATTCTGTGTTTACCCATGTATTTAAGATGAAAGAGAGCTCACCTATAGAATTAGATATATTGGTATTGCAGGTTTGATGCGTTTAAATTGTTCTGTATGAAGCTATGTTATGGTACGATCGCATACAAGAGGACACAGTGGAAACCATGTCACCAACGCAAGCGGAGGTAGCCTTCAGCAGCTTTTTGTCGAGTCTTTTATTCTATGTTAACTTACCTTTCCATACAAAATGTAAATGAACAGATCACGGATTGTATTATCCCCATTGTGTTTGTTCATATAATATCTATTAGAAGTTAATCCATAGATCGCTTTAGTTATAGTTTCACTTAAAGATTTATTTCACTATTTAATTTTATTTAAATTATATTGATGCTGTACTTGATATCATTATTTGTCATAAAAAATATGTAGAAAGTATAAAAATAAACTACTCCAAAAATATTACAAAACTGCACTGAAGTGACTGAATGTCAATGTCAGGAGAAATAATAAAATAAGTACGCTTTCTTTATTCTTTCTGGCCAGATTAATTTGAACCGGTTTTTTATGGAATATGCTAAAAACAGGTAAATGAGCAAATCACTGATAGAGCAAACGGATCACCTGATGGTAAGCGATCAGCGCCGCTCATAGATACCCGCAACACCAGAAGAGTCGCAATTCTTCAAAAGTTATTCATTGTTATTATTTATTTGACCGCACGGTTGGTGCGGTGGCTGGGCAACCGGCTGCCGTGCAACGTGTCGCGGGTTCGATTCCCGCACGAGACAACACTTTGTGTGATCCACAAATTGTTGTTTCGGGTCTGGGTGTCATTGTGTATGTGAACTTGTATGTTTGTAAACGCACCCACGCAGTGCCGGATTAAGCCAGCGCGGGGCCTGTAGCAAATTCTGTCTAGGGGCCCTTGGTTTGCTATCGGTTCTCATTTGGGCATTGATTAAATTTGGTGCCTTTTTTTGTTGCGTCAGTCGATGATTTATGGAAAATATTGTCTAGAATGACATTACAAACGAAATTGTCCCCATTTATATGAAAGTGATTAGTGAGCCCATAGGGCTCATGTATGGAAATGTCTGGATTGAGTTATGAGCGTTGAAAGGAGCTGAAGCCAAACCTTTTACTTTGGTTTTTTTTATTCAAATCTTATACTATTATATAAAGCGGAAGAGTTTGTTTGTTTCAACGCGCTAATCTCCGTAACTACAAGTCTGATTTGAATAATTCTTTTTGTGTTGGATATTGCATTTATCGAGGATGGCTATAAGCTATAAAACATCACGCTACGACCAATCGGAGCCGAGCAGAGCGTGTGAAACCGCGCGGAAGTAGCTAGTTATTCATATTTTTGTCACAATTCCCAACTTTAAATTGCGTGCAACTGTAGTGCGTCGGGCGCAGGAACACCATATCACACCACAATATATTCATATTGCCAGGCATTAATTTTTATTACCTATTTTCTCTCAGTCGATAACTTGTGGGATGCTTCTAGGAGTTGTGTCATGAAGCTTCATGAGCGTCAGCTATGTTACCAGTGGTGGGTTGAGCGGTGGTAGCCGTGTGAACATCTAATAAAGTATATTTTGTTTTGCCATTGACTCCTGGTGGGAGACTCATCTACTTTATAGTTCGCATAATCTTTTGAAGAAAGGAAACCGTCGACTTTGTAAAGTTATATACCTACGTCAGATGAGCGTATAATTTTTTTCATATAATGTGATCAGTCGAAATATAATCCATCACTTTGTGACTGAATGACGATATCTTTGTACAGAATCTTATGCTAGCTGTAGATTAGAGTATTAACTGTAGTTAAATTAGTGACTAATCGGGAGTA